ATCTTTAAAAAATAACTATTTGAGCCGAAACCGGTTTGGCTCAGTGGATAGAGCGAGAGCCTGTGGACTGAAAGGTCCCAGGTTCGATTCCGGCCAAGGACATGTACCTCAGTTACAGGCACATCCCCAGTGGGAGATGTGTAAGAGGCAGCTGATTGATGTTTCTCTCTCATCGATGTTTCTAACTCTCTGTCTCTCTTCCTCTCTGTAAAAAATCAATAAAATATATATTTTAAAAAAAAAAGACAGGTTCTTTTTTTAGATGAGATGAAACGTTTGTGGTTGCTTCTGAATCTCTTCTGATAGAAACTAAAACAGGGAGCTGCCTTTCCCAGAAGTTTTCCTGTGAGGTATATGAATTAAAGGGGATGGCCTCGGAGCACTTAAGACTTGTGATGTCCCGTCTGGCTTTACTGCTTCTGATACTTGGTGTGCTTTCACGTTTAGCTCCTGATTTTCTTTTTTTTCCCTCCCATGTCAGGTGTCAGTGTGTCTCTGCCGTGGGGTGCCTTGCTTTTCCTGAGAAGTCCTAGCCAACTCTTAGAAATATGACAGGACTCAGACACATGTCCCGGTTACTCCTTGTAGGCCTGCACACGCCCCTCCCCACTCCCGTTTTAGCTTTTTGGTCAGAAGTCTTACTTGGTTCACTTTTAATCTCCTTTTGTGGGCTTGGTGGGCAAGGACTAAGTGGTAGCATTGTGGTTGCGTATTGATTAATCAGTGTGTGGATTGGGGTGGACAGGCTTCCCTTTTAGAACACTTGCTGGGTCTGATGTGTGGCCTGGGGGGCTGTCAGGGAAGGGCAGAGCAATTGGCCATGGCTGTGGGTGAGATGGCAGCAGGTTGTGCTGTGGGTCTCAATCAGTATTGGGACAGACCAGAGACCGCTGCATGGTTCCAAAAATTGTGCATTTTCACTCTGTTAATGTTTTCTAACTACTTCTCGCCTTAGACTTAGCATGTAATGCAGAAGTGTGGAAAGGGGCTGACTGGAAGTCCAGGGTCCTGGGTTAGATCTGTAGGTTCACCTGTGATAATGTAAATGGGTTATAAGTAGATCAGGGTCGAACAGATGGTGCTCAGTAAATACTATTTGCCTGTCGCTCTGTGTATTCTTGTTAAGAACAAGAGGCTGTCTATGTCCATAGAACTTGACTCAAGGATTGTCAGGCTGCCTGACCGTGTGTGGTGTGTATGTGTGTGTGTCTTTATTGATTTCAGAGAGGAAGGGAGAGATACAAACATCAATGACGAGTGATAATCATTGATCGGTTGCCTCCTGCATGCTCCCTACTGGGGATCCAGCGTGCAGCCTGGGCCCTTGACCGGAATCGAACCTGAGACTTTTCTGTCCGCTGGCTGCCACTCTATCCATTGAACCAAACTGGCTAGGGCACCTTACTATGTTTAAATAACTGGAATATCTTGAGAGCTACAAGGAATGCCAATGCAAATCAAATGCAGCATGCAAAAACAGATCCTGATAAAATACTAAAAATGCATGGTACTTTTGCTGACAAAGAAGAAAAAAGCCCAAGCTAAAACAGACAGCAGTGACTGCAAAGAAAAGGCCTGGTCAGGGAAAACCAAATTCAGCTAATACCCAAGGAAATGCAGCATCAAGTTCTCACTCGGGTCGCCGATTACCCTCCAAACTATTTTTATTTTTATTTTTTTAGATTTTCTTTTTTTTTTAAAAATTCAGCTAATACCCAAGGAAATGCAGCATCACGTTCTCACTCCGGGTCCCTGATTACCCTCCAAACTATATATTTTTATTTTTAGCTTTTCTTTTTTTTAAAATATATTTTTTTTATTGATTTTTTTACAGAGAGGAAGGAAGAGAGATAGAGAGTTAGAAACATCGATCAGCTGCCTCCTGCACACTCCCCACTGGGGATGTGCCCGCAATCCAGGTACATGCCCTTGCCCGGAATCGAACCTGGGACCTTTTCAGTCCGCAGGCCGACGCTCTATCCACTGAGCCAAACCGGTTTCGGCCAAACTATATTTTTTATTTCTTAATAATTTAGCAAAAGAGACTAATGAGATGTTATCTATGCTGTTTAATTGGTTACCTGGTTTCAAGGAAGTGTGTTTGGTGGCTGAGAGGCATGGCATTGCATTTGTTGAATTTGGAAACGACAGGCTGGTGCCTCCAAGGATGCTTTACAAGGATTTCATTAAGGTCATGCTGTCCTGCCATGAAGAGCGCCTGTGCTGAGAAATAACATTTGGGATAGTTGTCTTTAAAGGATTTGGTGTAATATTTATACCATTTGGTCAGGCCATTTTAATAGTTGGGAGGTGGGGTAGTGATAATGAACTTTTTGTGCAGGTTTTTAAAAAAATTACCTAGACTTTCTCTAGCCTTGGTGAACTATGAAATATGAAGGCCTCATTTTTGTACAATAAACTTATGAGTTTGTATTTGGAAAACCTAAGGTATGGAACGTACTTAATTCCAACAAATTCTTGGATGCAGTAATTTTTAGATCAAGGTATGTACTTTCTTGAGGGTTTGTTATGTACTGATTGGAATATTGCCTAATGAATTAACAGTTTGGCCTCGCCATGTATTCAGTCTGGAGCGTGGGGGGCGGGCAGGCTATTCCCTCTTCTATACTAGGATCTTGACAGTATCCACCCATTGGGTGAAATGGGAAAAAGTATAGGAAGTGTTTAGCAAGTTTCCTGCATACATCTGTCCAAGTGGGAAATGTTGGGGAACTAGACGATGTATAAACTGCTTATTATGGTGGCACTGGGACCTGACCTGAGAGATTAATGGCTGCTGTCCTTTTTCCTCCTCAGTACATCCAGCGGTGGTAATTCGACAACGAAAGTCATACCGGAGAAAAGATGGCGTGTTTCTTTATTTTGAGGATAATGCGGGGGTTATAGTAAACAATAAAGGGGAAATGAAAGGTAAGAAAGGACCCACATTGTTCCTTAGATCTTTGAGATTGGGTGATTTCATTCTTGGATCTAGGAGTACAGGCAAAGGAGGGACCCTCTGATCTTGCCCGACACCTTTCTTCTTTTATGCAGGTTCTGCCATCACGGGACCAGTTGCAAAAGAGTGTGCAGACTTGTGGCCCAGGATTGCATCCAATGCTGGCAGCATTGCCTGATTCTCTGGTGTATTTGTAAAGGAAAAACCCATTAAAAATTGATGACATGAAATGCTTGCCTACTCTTCATTTCTACATGGCGCTCTTCTTGACACCATGTAACTCCCCTCCTTTGAAAAACAAACTACTCCGCAAACTTTCCGTGTATGTATATAAAAAAAAAAGATAGTCTTTGCACTGTGGTGAGTGTACAGAACTTTTGCAACATCCCAATTTCTGCTATTAAAAAACACACTAGATATTTGGGTTTGGAGTCCGTAAAGAAGTGGCAGGTACTACTTGATGATAGGATACCCCAGAAAACTGCTGTGCAGTGAGAAAGATATTTAAGACTAGAGGCCTGATGCCCGAAATTCGAGCAAGAGTAGGCAGGCCTTCCCCTGGCTGTTGTCACCGGCTTCCCTCTGGCACCTGGGACCAGTGGGAAGCTGGCTTTGTCCTTCCGGATGTCTCATCTAATTAGCATATGTATATATATGCCAACCTCTGTTTTGAGAATAAAAGGAGAGGATATAATTGTGTTAGCACAATAGGCATAAGTCCTGGCAAGTTGTGCCTGAAGGTATTATTGTAGCTTTTCTTTCCAAACTGAATTAGGTGAGATATTTAGGGTATGGGGAAAGAACACTTTGCTGGTTTGGATTAATAATGCAGCCTCATATATCTAGTATATGAAAATACTCTGCCTTTAAGTTGGGTATAATGTAAGGCTGAAAGAGTACATGAAGACCCTGCCTAGCTCAGTCACTTGAGATGACTACCTTTTGTCCAAGATGAGGGATGGAATGTACCAGGACTAGAGAGCAGTGGTTTTCAACTGGAGGAATTTTTTTTTAATGTGGCCAGGCCATATCCGAGACCAATTAAGTCAGACTGGAGGTAGCATCAGTACTTTTAAAAGCTGCCCAGATTCCCAAGGTGTAGCCGAGACTAAGAACCAGTGCTCTGTTTTGACTGCTGTGGGCAAACTACGGCCCGCGGGCCAGATCCAGCCCGTTTGAAATGAATAAAACTAAAAAAAAAAAAAAGACCGTACCCTTTTTATGTAATGATGTTTACTTTGAATTTATATTAGTTCACACAAACACTCCATCCCTGCTTTTGTTCCGGCCCTCCGGTCCAGTTTA